TTGCAGAATACTAGAACAATGGTATTGCTAAACACAGCAAGTAAGGGTTCAGCTTTGAATACCTGGTTGGGAGCCAGAAGCTTCCATCTGATGATGATGGATCTAGCTTCTGAAGCCCCAGGCAGTTTGCTTACTTTGTCCTCCCACCATTTTCAATGTAAAGGATGGAAGACCTCGTGGAAGACACTTTGAGGCACAGTTAATGAACAGAAAGAAGGCACTTGGAGGATTGCTCACTGAACACAGAGTGCTCATTCTTCAGTAGGGTTTATTGTGATTTGACCTAGTTAAGCTCTCATTGTGCAGTTTTTCCAGCTGCTTTCTGGCTTTAAGCTCCAGCCTGGGATCTAGGAACTTGAATTCTCATGCTAATTTCATCAGTTAAAGTAAATTTGAAGTCCTTTAACTTCTGTGCTTTTTCTGTAAGGAACTCCTGCCTCTTGGGTGCAGTGTAAGCACTAACTTGGGGGTGGGGGCAAAGGTGGAAATAATTGCTTTGTAAGGCTGTGGGGCCAAAGACTTGTATTTGGCCTGTCTGTATTACTGTCCTAATCATTAGTATAGTATCATGGTGCTTTTGTATTAACTGGCTTATTTTTAAAATTTGTTAAAAGTCTTTTTCCTAATATCATTAAAACCTTTCTACCTTACTGTTGGACTAGTTTTGATATTCCCACCAGCTGCTATGATTAAAGAATGTGCTGATAAGTACAGTATTACCTTGAGGATAGAGGAAGGAGAAATCAAATACAGAACTCTCACCTGGCACAATCTGTTCTTCTCTTGTGAGAACAGAAGATGTATATGAAAAAAAAAATCTGAAAAGTGAGCTGAAACTTCTGAGAAAGTTTTAGTAGATACAAATGTTTTCTGGTATCATGCAAAACCCTCTGATTTAACATAACCTTAAATGGTACAGGATGCCAACTGATGAGTATTCCTACAGCAGGCATTCAGATGAACCCATTGCATATAGACATTCCAGTTGAATTATGGCACGCTCGAAGTTAGACTGCCAGTGTAACTAACAAATATTCTAAACAGTTAAGCGGCTTTGAGCAGGTAAGCAAAAGTGCTTAGGGTAACTTCAGATGAAGCTACCCATATGGGAATTGACTGGACTTAGGGGGGCAGCTTGCAGTCAACTTTTTGGTCAGTCTGTTTTGCTAGGGCAAGTAATTGCCTCTTAAATGTACACTTCTGGCTTGTAACATTATAGGCCATGGCAGGTAAAAAGGTTTCCTGCTGCTATAAATAGCTACAAGCTTTTTATGTTCAAGTCTTTTTGAAATAGCATATATGGCTGTGCATTAACAGAATTTTTGAAGCATGCTCTATTGCACTCAAAGCTAACTACACTGGCTACCAAGTGAAATAGCATGCTTCAAGTAGACTAGCTGTCAGCAGGCTTTTTCTGTGAGCTTGCGATTACCGCTCCCTCCATTATAAATCACTTTTTCAGTCTTGCTCAAAGCTGCAATGCTTTTGCTTTTTTCAAGCTCAACTTGGCAATGGAAATTCTACTCCTCAAGCTGTACAAAAACCCTTCTTTCGAAGGGTTTTACCTGTGGCTTTTTCACATCTACTTAAAATAGCAGATAGCTATTACTTCAGTCCTGTGTGTATTAGGAATATTTAACTCACCCACTTCCAGGCAAACACTGAGATGGAGTCACAGAGACTATGCTGATCATTCTTGTAGGAAGGCAGTGATGGTCCTTCCAGTCTAGCCTTAAGGAAAAAAACAAATGGAGGGTTTTCATTGCTGCTTTTCCCTCTTTTCTGTTATCAAGGTTAGAGCCCTTTAGTTGCCTGTAAATTATTAAATGCTACAGTTCTTACGTTACAGAATTCAAATTATCAACTAGACCTAGTGTAGTATGATTTAAACTGTTACTTTTTTCTTAATTGTTCTGTTCTAGTAGAACAAAAAAAAAAATCAGATTTTCATAATCTGATGGGAGCTGCAGTTATACTCTATCCTAAAGCTGAGCTGGTAGTTTAATAGTAATATTGACTATTATTTGCAGAAAGAGCAGGTATGTAATACTTAAGTCTCTTTAAAGGTCTATTATAGTCAACATCCTTCAAAAGTCTCCATGAAAAATGAGAAGCAATTAACTACTAAGAGACTTCAATGCTGCATATCATCCTGTAATTCTATTAAAAAATCCTTTCTTTAGTCGTCAAGTTTATGTATTGCTTCTTGGATCTCTTTCAGTAGTGCAATCAAACAAAGATGAAAACTGCTAAAACATCATTTAATGAGATTTTTAAACCTAACAGTACAGTTATCCGTATAAATTGATGCTCTTTTTTAGTGTAGACTTTACTATAGATCTTTAGATCATTATTCTGAAAGGCGGTTCATAGCTAGAATTTCCTGTTGGTGACGATAAAGAGCTACTGCCAGATTTAGTATTTCCACAGCAAATAGTCACAAAGCTTTTCAGTAAACAATCTTTAGCCATTGGCCAGCACCTTCTGTATACCAGTAGTGTATATGCATGTGTGTTTGGAGAGGAAGTAACAGATTTTAGCTGAGGACAACATCAGAGCTAACAAACTTTGAGACATACTATTTCCCTTCCTGACATGTTGGGCTTAATGACCTCAAAAAAAAAAAAAATCAGATAAGCTGTGCAATAAACATCCACTAGGCCTTCCTCTTGAAAGATAGCTACTATGTTATCAAAATGCTTGATGCTTCTAAAGGCCTAGGAGTCCTGTGAAATAAATACCAATTTTCTACTCAAGAAAGGAATAGGATAAAAAATGTAAGCAAATCAAACAGGACTGCGCATGTCTTGATAACCAGACCCCTACAGAAGTTACTCCTTTAGAGACAGAACAGTGGATAAGAGCAAAAGATACTTGATCGTTTTTTGCTTACCTATGTAAGTCAGGAGAAACTGTCCACCTAAAACATGCTCTGTAGTCCAATTTAACCTTAAGTTAGATCTACATTTTGTAGACATGAAGTATGTTTGATTCACTTAAGCTTATTTAAGTCGCATGGACACTTTAACTATGCAAAAATTAGCATTTCCTTGATCTTATTCCTGTAATATTTAAGAAGCTTTAACTTTTGAACGGGGTGACTGACCTGCCTGTGATTCATGAGGATGGATTTTGTATAGGTGTTCAAGAGAGAGGGATACAGTATGGAAGGTCTCAAACATAGCCAGAAGACGTGTGAAAGCTAGGGTGGCTGCCATTACGCTTTTTTCAGGGTAAAAATTTTAGAACGTCAAAGCCTTGAGTTAAAGTCTTCATTGTTAATACATTCAAGTAGACAAACCTACCTTGTAACAGAGGTTCCACCTTGTAACAGATTCCTTCTTCAGCAATAGATTTGCCATGAATGAGTATCCTCAATTAATGATCTTCAACGCTGCATTAATGATTTCTCCCTTAAAGCACCAAAAAAACCCTTTTGCATCTCCTTTGGGATTGGGCTGATGACCAGCGTACATTAAGGTAAATAAAGCCTCACGAACCTCAAGAAAGCAAGTAGTGTATAGTGGCATTAAAAAAAAAAAAGCAATATGAAAACTGAGTAATGTACGCACCGGTATGCCAAGAGGACAGATTTCCTGTTGATTACAGAACGGCTAGTTTATTATCTACCTAGCCTACATCAGCCGGTAGAATTCTTCTTCTAAAAGATATCTCATCCCTGAAAGTGGAACCGTTTGGGATAGGGGAAAGGGAGGGTAAAGTGTCATTGTGTAAAATTTCCTGTATAGAGCCAGAGAGAGGGATTCATGACATTCCTATTTTCTTCTGCACTGTAGCACTTGATTTTATTTGATCACTATTGGATAGTTACAGCCTAAAAAAGGCATGTTTTTTTTCCCTATCCACTACTGCTTAATAGCTCAAATACAGAACAAGAATAAAAGGGAGCACGTGTAAGAAGTCCAGAGCGTTACTCTTTTTCCATTGTGTCAGGTATAGCTGAGTGACTCTAGTCCAGAGAGTGCACTCTTCTTTCAAGAGAAGGGTTTTAAACAAGGGGCTACACCTAGAAGTTCTCAAGGATGATCAAAAATATTCTGTCATCTGGTACCTTCCTTATCTTGGGGTAGTATTTAAGGTATGAGTCTTACTAAAATGAGAACCTGATGATTTTAAACTTGGTTTTGGGGAATTGCCTTAAGCTGTATCCTTCAGGAAGGATACTTGATTAAAGGATTGGCTTCAAGGAAGAGCTTGTCTCATGAATCAAGGGCTGAGCAAGAGAAACAGTGTTCAAGTCTTTCCTCTCTTGCTGCATGCTTTAGACTATCCTTGGCAAGCATATTCTTGCTTGATAAAGTTTGCCCACGCAGTAGCTTAAGCAGCCTTCTCATTTCACTTGGCTATATCTGTCTAGTACCTCACGTCTTTAAATCTGCTGCTTTTGAGTCAACAGCATTTGGCAAGTCTCTATCAGTCCAGCAGAGGGCAATGGTGATACATTTCTGACCACCGCCGCGGAGCCACGTTACTACAGTACAATTTAGAAATATAATGCAACTTGCCGAAAGTGAAGACTGTACACCAGCAGTATCACAGGTGAAAAATGACACAAAACATGTTTTAATTGTCAAGACAACAAGTGAGCAATATGGCTATTAAAAGAAAAATAAAACATTCAAAATACCTAAGCAAAAGTGTCAAAAATGGAAGTGAGGAGGAAGTCAAACAATTACTACAGAAACCAAGTAGCAGCATGGAGGGAGCTGCACATACTGAGGTATTACAGTCAGTGAGAATGTTCTGCTTTAAACTCTTTATTTAAAGGATTTTGTTTTTAATAACAGATACCTTTTCGTGAGCAATTAAGGCTTTTTGGCTGTTTTACTGAATTCTGACAAACCTTTCATTTTTGGAACAAAAAAATCCAACTAATCATGTTCACCTAAAGATTCATTACTGTTGCTAACCTACAAGAGGAATCTCTAATAGGCTAACTTGGGTTCCTCTAGGATAATAAGAGAAAATGACCAGACATTACTTGAAAGGTAAATCATGCCATGTTGGAATCTTCACTTTCAGTCACAGCTGGTGCTTGTTCCCCAGAAGTTCTCCCTCCCTTAGCTGCACTGGACTTCTTCTTCTTCTTCTTCTCCTTTTGCTCCATGTTACTTGATGCGAGCTCTTCACTCTTCTGGGTGATATACTTTAGCTGAGAACAATAAACTAATCAGTCATCTACTGAGGAACTCCATATATTCATGAGAAATTAGAGAGACATGTTTAGGAGAAATTAACAGCGCAAATTCTTATTACAAAAAAGACGACAGACACTCCAAAAAGGCTGACAAGCATCATTGATTCTTGCTGAAAGTCCTCAGTCTAAGCTGGACATTCTCAGATACTCAAATGCCCTGGCAAGACTAGGATTTATACATGTATGTTACATCCACCTCTAGAACGAAGACAGCAACATTAGCAGTTACTCAGAGTTGTAGTTTGCCGAGATACAATCCGAGTACAGAAACATTGCAAGATTCCTCTGCACCCACTTGACATAAACAGCACATGGTAAGTTAGGAACACAAAATTCAGCTCCTGCATTTACTATGCCTTCTCAGGTAAGTTCATGTTGCATATTTCAAATCACAGATGGAAGGAAAAAATCCCCTCACATAAAATTAAAGTTCGTATTGGAAGTATTCTTCATGGAAATATTTACAGGTGTGTCTTAACACATTAGTGAATTTAAGTCCACTGAACGTCATACAGATCAGCACAGGAGAGAATACAACAATGTGAATCATCCCTATATTGATGTTAGGAGACTTAGCACCTCAAGGTGGACTCAAGCTATTCCTGACCTTAGGCTAAAACAAAGGAACACAGACAAAACAAGTTATTTACTTCCAAGATTGACAATGCTGTAATGTGCCTGTTTATTGCACTTTCGTACCTGGAACCTCAGCAGCCCTGTTGCAACCAGAACATTGCTGCTTGAATTGCAATCAGATCTGTGTTCCCACAGTGATGCATAGTGTCATGAAGCAAAATAAGATGAAAATTAAAAAATCACTGGATTGTGCCCATCCATCATCTATAAGCCAGTGAAATTGCTTAAGCAACGGTTGCTTCATCATCTATAGCCTTCATTCAAATGCTCTTAGGAATTAACCAATTGGTTTAAGAGTGTTGTGAGACAGAAAATACAGTGATTCTCACCAAAGAATTGCTCCTTCTAGCCAAAAGCTTCACATCTTCTGTAGTGACTGTGCTTCGTTTTGCATGCCTGCATAAAATTAAAAAACACCCCTTAATGTGTTTGCCAACATTGGTTGTAAGAGGCCATACAGCATCTGATTCAGAAAACTAGCTAAAAGGGCTTAATAGGGACCCAGTAAACCAAACATGCCTGTCTTTTCCAAGTATAATACACAAACACCTACTTTACAAGTTTGTACGTGTACATCTAAATTCCCACACTTCCTGTGTAAAAACAGTAGAACTTAGCAACCAGAACTTCAAGCACCACTGTTCCGTTCCCTCTTACTTGCCAGTAGCTCACTGTGTTAAGTTTTGACTCCTTAAAACATTCTCTTAACCTCCTTGAAGCAACCAGATGAAACACAGGCATGCTAGTAAGCACCTGTCACTCCCAAACCATCCAGTACTGCTATGGATCAACGCATTTGACAGTTTTATACAGTCTCTAATATAAACAATCACTTGTACCACATAAATGAACTTCCAAGATCAGGAGGAACCTACAGGGGAATATCTATTTCCTAACTTCACAGCCACTATTTAATCAGCCAATAGAACTCTCTAACTTGAATTACAAGAAATTATTTTAAAGATTATCTAGTTATTGCAGCTGAACACAAAAAAAGAACACCTTTGTAACAATCAAGTGCTTCAGCACCTACCTTGCAAACATTTCGAGGTCTTTTGCAAAGTTCTCTGGAGAAAACACAAAGACGCCACATATTTTAAAATGCTAACTCTGAGTAGGAAGAGATACATAATACAGTTCTCGCTGTTACAAAGATGTAACTGCAAATTATCCAAGTTAGTTATGAGAAGGGACCATAACTTGTTATTACGTGCCACTCTGTTGCACAGGCAGGCGGCCCACACAATATTTCCACATACATTTAAATGCTTTTTCCAGGTCCGAAAAATAGAATCGCTATTTCTTGTACTTTTAAAAATGTAATGCAAGAAACAACACATCAGTGATACCTAGTTCCAGTGCTATTTTTTTTAAAACATCGTTTCTCCAGCAATTGCTCTTGAACAAATAGATAATACGCAAACTTCTGTACCACACTGCCTGAAGGTGATCTCTGAAATAGCTGCAATGGTTTGTTTGCTGAATTGCATGTCTTTGTCTTCTGCAACATCCTGACACAGGCAGCCGACCGTGTAGTGAACCGCAGCCTTCAGCCTCTGAAAGGATCCAAGGCAGCGACAGGTCAGCTCTCTGCAGACTGATACACTAGCTCTTCCATAAATCATCAAAACTATTGAAAAGGACGCAACACAAGCGACCGTTTACGGACCCAACACGCCCAGCAACACCACGTTTACCATTCAGTGCCCCATACCCCCCCCCCCCCCCGCCCACGCCCCCTCCTGTTCCCGCCCCGCGC